TTATACTAGTATACATAATAAAATCTTGTACTGTGTAGGTAGTCCTCATTTTACTCAATAAGTGCTGGCCTTAATTGTATTAATTTATTCATTCAACAAACATTTATTGGCCATGTGCTATGTGCCAGGCTTTGTATTAGACTCTTTCCTCGATACTTTATAATTTAGAATTTGTATATTTACTGTCCCTCTGATCTTTAGTTCTTAACTTCAAAATCGTCTAAAATTTACATAAAATAGGGAACCTCAGAATTAAAAGTATCTTTTTGGGACACCTTTACTAATGCAGGCATGACTCTGTATCTAATTCGTTTGTTTAGACTTTGAAATCATATCTTTCAAAGTGGTTCAAGCCTTCTCTTCATCTTTTAGGATTTAAGGGTATCAGCAAATGTCTGTGGTCATATATATCATCAATATGCCTGATAAACATGTCTGTTTGGGTTACTCAAACTATAAATTGTGTTTGTCATATAAAATTTTCAGTAATGCCTGTAGAAGTCTTCCTATGATCCTCAAGCCCCGAAGAGCCAGTTCTTCAGTACTTTGTGTTTTCCTCTGTTGTGATGCACCTTTGGAATCGGACTTTCCAAAACCACATCTGCATTCACACTGACCGTACTTTTCTCCAGCAACTTGGCTAATTTCTTGACAATGAACGTGATGATTGCGCCTCATCACAGAGCAGCAGGCAGCTGTTCAGTAACTGCCCTTTAAGAACAAATGCTTCAGCGCAGTGGTTTTTTTTTCCCTCCACGTGTTCACAGAACTGAAGTAATTTTTTTTTAAATTGTGTTATGATTCTACCAGAATTTAAGAGATAATTTTATCCTGGGGTAGAGTCAGTCCTTTGGGAAACTAATATGCATACAAATGGTTGCACTTTTCTGAGCTAGGACTGAGACTTTGCCAAATAGCAGTGGAACCAAACTGAGGACTCAGGGCTGAGATTCAGCCCGAGTCCTGAGCCGACTCCGTTGCTGTTGGTTCTGAAATCTGCATTATGCTGCACGCCAGAAATTGACACAACCTTGTAAACTGACTAGACTTCAATTAAATAAAGAAAAAAAGAAGTTAATTAATTAATTTTAAAAAACCTTGACTTTCCCCAAACTTTTGGATCAACCTAGCTTTTATGTGATCCTTGGGGGAGAGGGGAGCCATGGGGATGGCACTTAAAATTGGGGAAGAGGTCTTGTTAACTCCACTGTGTACCCACCTGGTAAACCTGCACCATCATTTTCTCCCACTGAGTTCACCTTTCAGTCGTATTGTCACAGGAAATATAAGGGAAGCCGTTTGCATTTTCAGCATGTACCTCACACTGGAGTTTCTGAAACTGTCACCATTTTATGTAAATGATTTGCCTTTAAAGTCAGTTCTTGTTCATACATATATAATATTCTGAATGCCAAAATCTGCGAGGAGAGAGGATATGAGCTAGCACACCTAGTGGACAGCAAAGTAACAGTGAGGGATTTATAAATGCTGAGACCCCCTAATGTGGTTGTACCTTTTGCAGTCACTTTACTTTTAAAAAATTGTTTGAAAGAACCCTCAGAAACTCTAAAAATATAATTTCATTTTACCAGCCTCATAGATGTTGGGAGGACCAATGAAATACTCTTTAAAAGTCATTTCAGATTCATTGCAAAAAGATGCTGTGTAACTACAAGAGTTCTTCTGCTTTTGATTCTTAATTTGATTATTAGCCTCAGAAATAGTTTTTTAAAAGATCCTTAGCAAGCACATTAGATGAAACTGCCAGGGAATATTTGGATGCCTTAAGGCATTGTGTTGTATGCTGATAACACCTGTAACTTGCACTTTGTAAGAGCTCCCTCCCTCCCTTCCTGCCTTCCTCTCTCCCTCTCTTTCTTCCTTTCATTTTCATGCATTCATTCACTTATAGAACCCTGAATACTATGCCTGTGTAAGGAATCATGCCAGGGGCTAAATAAAACCCAACACCCCCCAAGAACTTTCTGTGCTTTTAAGGAGTATGCAATCTAGAACGTGTTTCTTTTGAAAAACCTTTAAAAACAAACACTTTCTAGACCGGTTGCTCATTAATTTAAAAAAACAATCAAAATAATGTCTTTATTAAATAGACATGGGCTGGATATTTTTCTCACTGCAGGAATGAAAAAAACAGCCAGTGATTGGGTAAACCGCGGGGTCTTACAACAGACTGACTTACTCTGCCTTCTGATTCTAGTCTGAGGGTTTCTCCCCTACGCCGTTTGTGTCTTTGTGAGGCAGAAATTGGTTTGAGTTCAAATTCTGCTCCACCCAGTTCTCTCTCTGTGTGACCTTGGGCAAGCTCATCTTCCCAGCTGTAAAATGAGGTCACCGCAGTAGCTGGCCGTAGAGTTGTTGGAGGGGTAAGTGAGCAGGGCCTGGCACGCGATAAGCACGATTTAAGTAGTTGCTACTCCTATGATTATTTGTAAACATTAATTTTGTGTGGTTGTTTAGAGCTGCACGGGCCAATATGGGAGCCACTAGCCCCATGTAGCTACCGGGCTCTTGAAATATGACTAGTCTGAATTAAGATGGACTATACATGCAAAATACAAACTGGGTTTCAAGACTCAATACAAAAATAAAGATGTAGACTACCTCATTAAAATTTTATATTGATTATGTGTTGAAATGATAATCTTTTGATATACTGGGTTAGATAAAATATATTATTAAAATTACATTACCTATGTGGTCTGTGTTACCCATCTGTTGGGCAGTGCTGATTCAGATAAAGATGTTACCGTAATGTAATGACAATTAAAGGAGAAACACAAAGTCTTTGATCAGAATCGTAAAATGAAGCCATGAATCCTGGGCGAATGCTCTGTGAAAAAGTGTTTACTGAAACTTAACTTCGTTTGAGGTCAGCTGCACAAGTAGTCCAATTCTAGCTCCTCGGAAAACACTGTTCTTTAAATCCAGTTAATGTGATATTTTAACTTTTCAGTTAAACTCCTTATGTTCTCTTTCAGTGACAAGTTCACCAGATTTTGCCAGTGGAAAAATGTAGAATTAAATATCCATGTGAGTATCATCTTTTCCTTTCTTTCTTTTTAAATAAAAACTTCCTCTGGCTTGACTTCATGAGAAAATACTTTGTCCGGGAGCGAACTCCCCAGGGTAACAGCACAGCCTAAACAGATGTCCTTCTCACAGCTTCGTGCCTGAAAAATCCATCCTCCCATAGCCGGTTGTAAACAATTTGAGTTTTAATTCTCTTTTTTCATATTCATATAAGAATGTGTTTATTTAAGAAAGGATATTTTAAGCGGTAATTGACCCTTTAACAGAAATAGTAGGAAAAATACAGGACTTCTGCGTAATGTAATCTCCACGTGCTCATGTCTTTTTGCCTTCCTGGTACAGTTCTTCTTTTTTTTTTCCTTATTATTAGGTACAGTCAGATAATATAAATGATGACACTTTTTACTAGACCACGATTTCATCTTATTTTTATTTATTTATTTTTAGTAAAGTATATTTTTATTTTGAGAATCATAAAAGCACTCCTCAAGTATAGGCTACTTTCCAACGTGTATTTCCTTAGTGTTTTGTCATCTTTTATCTTTTCAGTGTCAGTAATTCTTTACTTCGGGCACATTCTGTACTTCACTTTTAATTAAAAAAATTTTTTTTTGTGGAGGAAGGTAATTAGGTTTATTTATTAATTTATTTGAATGGAGGTACTGGGGATGGAACCCAGGACCTCGTACACGCTAAGCACGTGCTCTACCACTGAGCCGTACCCTCCTCCAGTTTGCAATTAGATACAGAAAGAACTAGATATTTTTTGAGTTCCTTACTTAAATGGTACTGTTGGAACATTTTTTTTTTCTTTTTAACCTCCCCTCTCCATCCCATTTCTTGGCAGAATTTAGAAGCAAGAGGCCATAACATATATTAAAAAAAAAAAATCCCTTATCTCTGCTGTAGATCTTTCTTGTGACCTGCTGTCCTCATGTCTTCATGTCCTCGTGTCCTCTGAGCACCAAAGATGAAACTTGTTGGCCAGATGTCCCCACCTGGCGGCAGACATGGTATTTTAAGGGTTGTCTCGGAAAACCCTTCAAGAATCTGACCCTTCATTTGCCAGGATCCATCAGTTAGTGGGCATTTGCTCTTGTCTGACCGCCCGTTACCATGGACATAGGACCATCTGCCTCTGTACCGTGTCTGATGCTATGAAAACTACTTGGGAAGCAGGGCATTGCGGAGATATTATTGACAAAAGGAAAGGGCTTATGAATAAAGCCTCTTTATAGAGTTGCTCACACTTGGTCAGGTTTCACACTCACATTTCCGGCACGGGTCCTCTCTACTCACTGACGTTATTGATAAAAAAATTCACATGGCCAGCATCTGTTGGGCTCTCCAATCATATGGCCCACTGTTAGGAAAACATAGATGCCCTAATGTAGACTTTTTTTTTTACCATGGCAGTTCCTGGAATTGCTGAATTGTCCCCAAACTTTAGGCTTCAGAGTAGCTGAGGTCGCTTTTTATTTTGATTGGAAATTTCTCACTCACGTGTCTTCAAAGTGTACGTCTTACAATCTAAGATTTATGAGATTGGAAAAATAGTCTAACTCAGCTCCCACTGTGTCATCTTTCCATTTGCCTCCGTTGTGTGCACTTTGTGGAATTTGCATAGAAGGTGGTTCTACAGTGTCTTGCCACCTTGTGTGTCTCATCTCTCAGTTGGAGGGACCAGTCCCAGAAAGGGCAGATCTATCAGAATCACCCTTTTAATAACTGTATAGGTTTTGCATGAGAACAGTGGCATAATTTTTATGCAGTTTTATGTTTTCATTTCACATTTTGAATTCACAGTTGACCATGAATGATTTCAGCGTACATAGGATTATTGGACGCGGAGGATTTGGTGAAGTCTACGGTTGCAGGAAAGCAGACACTGGAAAAATGTAAGCTTTCGACGCTCACATATTTTGCTGGGAATATTAAGACAATTTTATGTGCACATCAAAAGAAAATCCCTCCATAGATTTATGGAAGCCCATGATCTCACTCCTGAGGTAATTTACCCCAAAAGAAATAGGCTGTCTTTTGGAAAGCATAGTCAATGAGATCATCTGGAACTTCTACTTCTTAGGGCTCACTGGGAAGTTAACCAGAAACTGTGTATTGGGAACCCTCCATGGCTCAGGCCGTGGGTGAAGAGCCAGGAATCCGGAGGTGGCCAGGAAGGGGTTTTAGGTACAGCCTCCTGCTCCCATACTTGGCAGGGGAGAAACATTCTCTTCTGAATAATGGCCCACTTTTGACTTAGGGTGTACAGTCTGGGAGGATGTAGCACTCCAGGAGACATGGCTCCCACAGCAGGTAGCTCAGTGCGGACAAGGAGGATGCTCTCCTACAAGGACCACTGTCATCGGGCTCCACCCCTCCTCTGTCACTTGTCCCACGGAGGTTGATGTGAAGCAGTTAAGTGCCCCTGAGCCAGATGTAAGGGTCTTCTGCAAAGTAAATGGTGGAGTTCTTCAGTGTGGGGGCTGGAAATTTTTTAATATAGGAGCAGTCTGTGAGTGGATGTATTTCTGAAAACAAAAGAGAATGGAAAAATGTGATTTGATAGATCCAGAGCTACCAGTCTGATCACGTAACAGCTGTGTTAGAACAGTGGGCAAGGTGGAATAGTCAGTGAAGCTTGGTTTATAAAATGATCGAGTCAGCGTAAGAAGGAGTAATCAAAGTCACCTAATTCAGGCGCTCGCCTCCTGCCCCGGCATCGCCTGCAGGTCGTCATGCAGCCTCTGCTTGGGCCCTTCCTCAGGTTGGGTGCTGTCGGCCCTTTCCGTTCCTGGATAGGTCCAAGAGGCAGCACATTTTTTATTATTTGGTGGCTGAAATTTACCTTCACTAAGTTGTGCCCATTGATCGATCTTCTTGCTTTGGGACCCCGTGCGGGGTGAACCCAGAGTCTGGCCTCCAGGTGTCTGCAGGCTGGTGTTGGGCCGAGACAGGACACCTAGGGGTCCAGAGTTGGAGTCTGGCATCATAGGTCAAATCAGCGTCCTCACTTTCTGGCTCGGACAAAGTTTGTGCATTCTTTGAGCCTCCGTATCCAAGTCTGTAAAGCCAGGATACTGAAAGCACCTGCCTTGTTGTGAGAATTAAATGAGATAACACATTGTAAAGCATTTGGCACCCTGCCTATCCCCTGGTATTAGCAGACAGAGCCCCCCATGACCCTGCTTTCTGGCGAACACGTTCTTTCCTGTTCTGTGCTACACAGTGGACTTCTTGATCGTAAATGATGTACTTCACATGTCATTTGTCACCTTTCACCGGATTTTAGTTTTACTTCACTGGAGCCGCTTGTCGGGGTATTTAGGACGCCTAGTCTGTCACATGATGGTGTAGAAGTAAATAATACCAATTTGTCTCTTCACACACATGGAATATTTCACCCGCCTCGGAGACCACCAGGACGTGGTAGATAGCCTTCTGTTTCATAGGTTAAGGGTACGCACTTCTCAGGAGTCATCCAGCTAGAAGGTGGCCGGGCTCAGCTCCCGTGAATCCGCAAGTACATTCTTTGCGGTCTCCAGGCTGCCAGTGACAGGTGCACTGGCTCTGGGCACCATCAGTGAACTGCCACCTATCCTCGGAGCCTCGATTTGCTTATTCGGAGGGGCTCAAGACCTGTGTGTGCCATCTCACCTGGTCTGCAATTCAAAGGTCTTATTAAATACCATCCGGGTGGAGGGTGGTGACAGAAGTAGTAGGAGGCATTTTGAATTGTATCGTAACAGTTAAATATTTCAAGGACACATCACTTCATGCGTTCTGAAGATTTGATCCCATAATTAAGCAAATTAATGTCTCGTCAACAGATTTGTCTTACAGAACTCCTGGAAGAGGGAATAAAAAAGATCACATCTGAACAGCTATCTCTGTTTTGCTATAAGTCGTATTATATAAGTTGCGATCAGTTAGAAACAAGTGGATTTTATGTGTCCTACAGCAGCCAGACTACTGGTATACCTGGGTATCATGAACTAGTCCGTCAGTGGGAATTTATAGTCACACACACAGAGTTTTCAAGTCCCTGAAGCCCTTGTAAAAATTTCCTTTCAGCTTTCTATTGTCCTGCAGAAAAAACCCTCTACATTCTTTAACCTGTAATTACAGAGTACACCGATAACATGTCTGTATTTCCTTAATATGAATTTGCTGCAGATCTTCAAAAATCTTAAGTAGTCAAGTGTTCCTTCTCAACTAACTTTGATTCTTTGTATTTTTTGAAATACAATAACTTAAGTATTGATGAAAAACAAGTAAATAAAATGTCACTTTAGAACATGGGTTTTTGAATACATGCTTTCCCTTCCCATGCGGTTGATCATCAATGTTTTAGAGTCTTACATTCTATACTCTTTCAAAATCTTGATCGCTGCTGAATTCACGATTCCTAAATGCTAAATATTATACATATACCCACCCCCCGCGGCGCACACACACACATACACACACTAGTGCTAGGCAGGGAACAGTACATACAAAACATTTTCCTGAATTTTACATCCATCTACTTTATGTTCTTATTCAACTGAATCATCTATTCATATAATGATAGAAATATCTTCATTATAGCTTGATTTTTTTAAAAAAAATAGCCTTTTTATTTTAGGATAACTTTAGGTTTACAGAAAAAGTGCAAAATTAGTACAGGGGTTCCCAGGTACCCCACTCCCAGCACCCTTATCTTCCTTCAGTTGTGGTACACTTGTCACAGTGCATGAAGTAACACTGGTACGTTACCATTGACTGAAATCTCCACTTTATTCAGATTTCCTTGGTTTTTTAGAAGCGTTTTGCTTCTTTGAAACACTTTCCAAATCTGTAGAAACTTCCCGCAGTGTGTATGATGTGTATTGTTTAAATCTGCTTAGATACATTTCTAGCGCAGAATTTTCAACATTTACGTTTCTAGGTATGCGATGAAATGCCTAGATAAGAAGAGGATCAAGATGAAACAAGGAGAAACACTAGCCTTAAATGAAAGGATTATGCTGTCCCTTGTGAGCACAGGAGTAAGTATTCAGTTTTGAGCACTGGTTTTTTTGGTTGTTGTCTGTTTGTTTTCATACTTATTTGTTTTAATTTGCTTTTTTTACATCTGGACAATTTCTTTAAAATACAGGCATTTTTTTTCATTCCCACTAAGGTACAAATCTCTGATGTCTAAACCACCTCTGGGGCTTTGTTGCTATAAAAGAGAGTTTGTGGTTGGGGGAGGGGATAGCTCAGTGGTGGAGCCTGTGCTTAACATGCAGGAGGTTCTGGGTTCAATCCCCAGGACCTCCTTCAAGAATAGATAAACCTAGTTACTCCCCTCACCCAAAAAAATTAAGATAAAGAGAGTTCATGGGTAAAAAAAAAAATTAAAAATAAAACACAGGCATTTTTTTTTTCTCCTGGCCAAGTATGCAGCTAGCCAATTTTGGGTGAATTAGAATTTATAGCAGGGAGCAGCAGCACTCAGTTAATAGAAGCAATAATTCAGATAGCACCTGTGTTTAATTTGGGGCTTAGGAAAGTACTGGCAACCATCGCTCTGCACACCCATGCCTTCTCCCTTTGACGCATGTTTACGACTCCCTTCTTTGCGGAATGTAGTTGCAGAGATGGCAGGAAATAATCACATCAACAACCAGAAATCCTTCTCGTAGAGTTAAGAATGAACTGCATGACTGAGAAGGACTAACCCAGAGAAGAAACAGGACGAGACACATGGCTTCCATCGTTCGTGACAAACAGGGAGGAAGCGCTTGGCTTAGTCAAGTCCCAACTGTCCCTTCAGGGTGGTCCCCAGCCGTTGTTCCATTTGGAGGGGGCTTTAACTTCTCGGCACTTGCGACTTTTGCCTGCTGTGAACACAGGTCTTTTCCATCTCCATCCCCACCTTTCTGCCTGTTGGGTGTTCTATTTGTACCCCAGGCTGTCATTTTTAGCCCAGCACATGTAAAAAAAGCTCGATGTCCTGTGTCATCTCGACTTGCAAAGCAGTGTCCCGTTCTGATTTCTTTTTCTGTTAATGATATTCCCCGAAATCCAAACCTTGGCTTTTATTTATTGGTACAGATGTCTAGGAAGACATCCAAAAAAACCCACTGTCCCAGAAACCTAGGCATGTCCGTGGGCCCCGGGAGGCCTGTTGTCCAGGGTTCAGAGGAGGTCAGGGGTCGAGGTCAAGAATGAAATGAGTGAAAAGAGGGTGGAGTGACCAGGCCCATGCTATGGAACTCATGGGCAAATTGAACATTGAACACCGTGCCAGGAAGGTTTACACGCACGTGAGAGGTGGGGGGAGGGGCTGGGCTCCAGCAATCATAGCTGAATTCTAAAGAAGTATTTGGAAGAATCAAATTTTGATGGTAACTCAAAGAATTCCTTTTAGCTAGGAAACAAGGAACTGAGAACCCAGAGACATCATATCCTTGCGCAAAGTCCCTGGACCCCCTGGACACCCCCAGGGTTCCTTTCTCATCATTTGATAAGCTTCATGTTTTTTTGTTTATCACCTGCATCTACTGGATTATGGTTTATATTATTCTCGCATGAGTTTTAAGTGATTCTAGAAAGGCTATTTGCTATTGAAGCCGAAGGATGTCATAATTTAGCTCCAGTATAACAAATGAAAATGCCATGGCTGTAAATAGATTCTAATTATGTGCCTCTACTGGCCAACATATGGGCATATAGCATTTCAGATAAGGCTTACCCTGCGTGAGTGACCAAGATTTTAACTGATTGCAATGGAACCTTGAGTGGCCTGCACACTGTTGGAATCAGCATGAATGGCGTTGGCTTCTAAAATCTGTTGTACATGTCTCCGTCTTCATTTCAGACCTGGATGTGTGCTTACTGCAGGCGTTCAGTCTTCTTAAAATATTGTTTAAATTTTAGTAATGTATTAAAATACTCATTTTTAATGAGTTACCTCAAAGCCTTGGATGTTTATTCTCAAGAAAGCTAATGGAAATAAATGTTTGGTGTTGGAGCAATAGATGTAAAAAGTTTTCATGTAGCACTTTTATGTTTTATTAGGTGATGGGGGCAGTGTGGTTAAGTAGTGGTGTAGTCCCTCACCAGTCTACCCATAAGGGAATAAGTGAAGCATTGGGGTTACACTGGGCTACTGCTCTCAACTAATTTAAAGGAAGTGTCTATATTTCTTGTTCAAGTATCAAAGCTGTTTAGTAGCTTAAAATTTTTGTTAAGTACATAATTTAACCAAAAGAATTGTAGTAAGGTTGTTTGGAATTGGTTTTGTCACTCAGGGGCCACCGTTTGTAGGATTTAAGTCATCTTTATTTTAGGTGAAGCTCTAGGTGGGCCTGTATCAACGTGGTTTCCTAAGGTTCCGACGTGCAACTGAGCGGGAGTCACCCATCAGAGCTTTCTTTTAACTGGAAGGTTGTTTTTCTCTTTTGGTCTCAAACTGAGGATTCCTGCTCTTCATCCTCCAAAGGGAGAATAGGAAGTACTGTTCCCAGTTTTCCTCTGTAAGTTTTGGACAGTAAAGGAAGTCAGGATGAGGATGTCCATGCCTGGGAGGAGCTGTCAGCACCTTCCTTAATCAAGTCATTAATTGTTCATCAGAGTTTTGTTCATTCTTTCTTGAACCATCCTTGAGGCTTAGATTGTGCCGGGCCCTCCACTTCAGGGACCCGAGTTTGGTCCTTGCTCTTACAGAGCTGTGTGGAGTGAGAGAAGGCGGTGTTTATTCAAACAATCTCAGATAATTGGAACACATGGCAAGAGCTATGAAAGGCAGGTCCGCAGTGCTTGGAAGGCGGTTAACCGAGCAGAGATACATCAACAAATGCTCCTCTGAAGTCGCGGGAGGTGCCAGTAGGTGTGTGAGTCCTGAGCATGGCAGCTCTGGGAACTCACAGAAGGTGGCATAGCTGGGGTCTGAAGTGATGAGGTTGAGTACCGTGAGAGGAAGTTGTGGAGAGGCAGATAGGCCAGACCAGACCAGAAAGAGCTTTCTGGGCCAGTATTGAGAATTTAAATAAAATCTTGCAGCCATTGGAAACAAAGCGTTTGAAGTAGGAAGATAACCCAATAAGCCTCGCCACTGGAAAAGATTCCTCCAACAGCAAGGTTGGAGAAGTTTTTTTAACGGCTATTTTACAGTCAAGTTTATCACAGTTTTAAACAGAGTTCCTGCAAAACACAAGCTATTTGGCTCACTGGGTGGGAAATCAGAGAAGACCAGTTCCTTGCGCGGAGCTCTATTTAAGGATCTACCTGTAAAAACCCACTAGTTCTTACTTACCTGGAGTGTGTCATCAAGGCAGAACATCGAAACCATCATTATCTTTGGAACCAAACCAACACCATCAAACAACTGCTTGTTTCTTCACAGGAGTCGGCATGCAGGTGTCTGTGTCTCGGGCTCCACCTGAGACTTGGGGTGGCACCTGCTCAGCACCTGAGAGATGAGGGACTGGGGTCAGTGCCTTCAGTAGAGCTGACCAAGTCACACCCTTCTAACTGGGCTTTTCTTTTCCGTTGCTGTGGAAACCTGTGCAACACAGTACAACTCTGGAGAGGGTTCCAGAGACTAGGAGGTTTGCATCTTGGCTGGCTACCAAATTACTTTGTGATCTCAGGCAAGTCATTTCCCTTTTGAGGGGGCCTTAATTTCCTTATCTTGAAATGAAAGAAGTCAGACCAGGGTTTTTTAGGTTTTTGTTTTGTGGTTTTTTGGTTTTTTTTTTTTTTTTTGAAGAGCCTTTCCTCCTTGGATAGCCTCTGATTATAAATCTCCAATTCACATCCCATCTGAATAACGTAATACCTTAACTATACTTTGACCTTTCGCCGTTTTCTCAGAACTGTCATTAGAAGGGTCAGATGCCGTCATGTTCAGAAATACCCCCTCTTCAGGCTCTGTTGGTCCCCTGGGTGAAGTGGATGGAGTTGCTTTCTCAAGCTGGGAAAGACCCCAGCTTTACTAAGTTCCTGGTCTGCCACGTCTCTGCTCTGCAGATGACCTGCTCATCAGACCAGGAACCAGAGTATGTGGGGATCCCCAATAAGGAAGGAGTGTGGTACTTGGAGTGGAATGAGCCATCCTCAGCAGACTATGGAAAGTTCTGGTGAAACACTTGGTGGGATTCCCAGTAGAACAGTACCCACCCCTACCAAGAACCACGTGGCTTTTAACAAATAAAGAACAGCACCTCTATTTTACCTATTTAAAGCAAAGTAAATCTTGAAATTAGTAAATAACACCTTTCAACTGAACTCTAAGGAAAACTAGGTAATCACAAAATGAACTTTGTAATTCATTCTGGAGTCATTCCCTCCAGAAGATTTAAGGAAATTGAGTTCAAGATCATGAATCTTGGGCATACAAGAATGTGTTAAGTCAGATTTATCTATATGCCCCTAATATAGAGGTTTGGACGGTGCAAATCCTGTTTACAGATTATCTTGTTGAAATTTGAATCTTTTCTGCAGAATTTAATAATTCTTTGTTTCTGTTAAGAAAGTAGATATAGATATTTTGTGCCATTTTTACCTGAATCAGTTGAGTGGCAAGGGTACCCTGTATATTTATCTAAATGGATGTGGTTCTCGATCTAGTGTGGCACTGATGGATTGTCACTAGGGAACACAAGCATATATCCAGCACCCGGATCAAGAGATGGAAAGTTACCAGTGCTCCAGAATGTTCTCCATTGGCTCACCCCACACCCAGGCTAACTACCACCCAGCTGTCTAACACCATAATTAAGCGCTGCCTGTGTTGGAACTTTATATAAACGTACTCATTTTGTGTCTGGCTTCTCACTCAGTTTTGCTTGTAAGAATTATTTGTCATTGTACGAAGCCACAACACCTTCTGTGGCTAAATAGTAGGGGTCACCAAGCTGTGTGTGTGGCCCAGGGACCAAATCTGGCTTGTGTTCACAGCCCGTGAACTAAGAACTTTTTTTTTCATTATTAAAGGATTATAAAGAAAAGAAACAAAGAAGAATAGGCGAGAGACTAGATGGGACCTGAGGAGCCTAAAATATTTACTGTCTAGCCCTTTGCAGAAAAAATTTGTTTACCCCCACTCTACAGTATTCCATCATATGAATGTGCCAGAATTCATGTATCCATCCTGCTGTTGGTAGACACTCGGATTGTTTCCCGGTTTGGACTATTTTAAATAGTGCTGTGAGGACCATTCTCATGCAGTTCTCTTGGTGCACATAAGTACGGATTGCTGTTAGGTAGATACCCTGGGGTGGAAATGCTGGCTCAGAGGGTTTGCAGGTAGTGGTCAGCTCTAGCAGACACCACCAGACATCTTGAGAAAGTGGTTGTACCATTGTACCCTCCAAGCCACCACACTGGAAGATCCATTAACTCCATATCTTTTCAACACTTGGTATTGTCAGTCTTTGGTTTTATTTCAGTCAAGCTTAGCGATGTTTTTATTATTAGAGCTTTTTGTGGCCTGTTTAAGAAATCTTTAGTTCACCCTAAGATCCTGAAGGTGTTCTCTTTTGTTTTCTTCTAGAAGCTCTATTATTTTTCCTCTAGATTTATATCTACCTGGAGTTGATGTTAGTGTGCGGTGTGAGGTAGGGGTCAATGTTCTCATTTGATCTCACAGATAGCCTGTTGCTGCAGCACTGTTGATTAAAAAGGCCATGTTTTTCCCCCACCCTGTTGTGTCACTTTATTACAAATCGACTGACCATTTACATATGGGGCTACTTCAGGATTCTCTGTTCTGTTCCACTGGTCTATTTGTTTGTCCTTGGGCTAGTACCACACTGAGTCATTGTTGCTTTATCTTAAGTCTTAATATCTAACACAATGGGTTTTCCAGCTTTATTTTTTCTTCAAGAGTATCTGAACTTTTCGTGGCTATTTATTTTCTGTATAAATTTTAGAATCAGTTTATCAGTTTTCATTTTAATTAAGATTGCATGGAAACTATAGATTAATTTTGGGAAAAACTGGCATCTTTACAGTTGAGTTGTTCAGTCCCTGACGCTGGTATGTTTTTCCACTGTGCAAAGCTAATTTAATTCCATTTTTATTCTCACTGTTTCCAGACAGTAATACAGATAACATTTCCTCCTCCCTCCTCTCCCGTCCCCCCAGGGTCTGGTTCTTCCAACTTCAGAATCCGAGATTGAAATGAATATTTGACTAGCCAGAACCAAAATGCAGACCAACAAAAAGACTAACAAGATAGTCCTATTTTTCTGTAGACTCTGAGTCTTCTGAAGAAGATGTGGAAGGAAGAGTCATGATTGAATTGGAGTGACAGAAGACCTTTGAGTTCATTTGCTCCCGTTAGCAATGTTGTGTGTCCATGCATTTTACTATGGTACCAGACCTTTACTGTGTCTGTTAAGATTATCACGTAGGTGTCTGTGCTCCACACACAGGGTAGTGGCCTGGCTGCAAAACTGTACAGACGGTGTTTGGTAGCAGGTGTGCTTCGAGGACAGCGTTTGCTTTTCTTATATATGTATTTTTTTTTCCACTCTAGGATTGTCCTTTCATTGTCTGTATGACCTATGCCTTCCACACGCCTGATAAACTCTGCTTCATCTTGGATCTGATGAACGGTAAGCGAGGCCCGGGAAGTCTGAATACACTGAAAGCCTTTGCCATGATGTTCGATCTTAGCCATTTGGGTCTTTTGGATAATTAGATACCCCCTGAAGTTTGAGGAAACCTTTTACTCTCCAATTTTCAGGGAAAATTCATTTCAAAAAATGTTGACTGCCATCTCCTCCTGGCCCTCCCAGTCTCTCCCCAGGAAAGTGGCATTTTCCAGAAAAGATTTTCAGAAAGTAAAACACAGTGAGACTTGATTTTTCTGGGACGCAGCTGGCCGGGGTGTTTAGCTCGCTTGTCTCCTGGCCCTCAACTTTTAGGAACAAAATGCCTCCAAAGAATACAAGCCAAAGATAGAAGTGTATTAAAGAACCAGCTTTGAAGGACTGACTGGGCCGGCACAGACGGTAGCCCAGTCTTCCGTACCTTCAGCCCAGATCAGCTGTACGTTGTTGATTCAGTTTATTTAATTTATTAACATTATTTTTTAACTGTGAATGATGACCCAGAGAATGCCGAAGGAGTTTTAGCCAGGAAAGTACTTTTCTAATACTAGAAAGGAACATGATACATGTTCAAAGCATTTTTAGTAACAAGAGCTGAGATAAAAGGCATACAGTTCAACAAGCGAAATACCTTTTCTGAAGTTCACTTGAAGTTTTATGACGTTTTGAGTGTTTGATTTAAAACCAGGTCTGTCCAAAGGCACGAAGGAATTTCACAGACATAATAATGAGCAGAAGCGGCCAAACACAGCAGCAGATACCCCGTGTGGCTGTTTACGTGACTGTGGGGGCTGGCAGAGCTCATCGGTGGTGGAGAGGGCAGAAGAGGGTCCCCTCGGCCTGGTCAGGGGCTGCGAGCTGACATACTGACTGGGAGGGACATGGGGGAGCCTTCGGTGATGCTGGAAATCTTTCATGTCTCCATCTGGCAGGGGTGATACGGGAATGTGTGTGAACAAGATGACACTTATAAAATCAAGGGCCATAATGTTGGATACACGTGGACTTTCGTAAATCAACTGAGGCTCTCCCCTCACCGTTTATAAGAACATTCCTAGCCCTGTTGGTGGCTTTCTCTGTCTCTCCCACTTGAGGCCATGTGATTTATTTTTTCCCCAACATTTTATTATGACAAATGTCAAACATGTGGCAAAACAGAAAGAATTTTACTAGGGACACCCAAATACTCATCCCCTGGGTTTGACCAGTTAAAATTTTACTTCTTCGCTTTATCGAGTATCTATCAGTGTGATCAACTTGTTTGTTCTGTTTCCTTATTTACTTACTGTCCACAGAGCCAATTGCTGAGCTATGTACTGGATCACTGCACAGGTTGATTTAGTTGTTAGACAGGACTTAGTAATCAGAGCAGACTGGCTAACCCCCCCCACCCCGACTCCCTCCGCCTACCCCCCTTCCCACGATGGTGCGTCTGGAAGCTGTGACACCAGACAACGGTGGCTTTGTTTCATATTGTCCCGGCCATCGTCCCATCTAAGCCATCTCAGTGTTTAAGTTTCCTCTGTAAATTTTCAAGTGTTTTTGTCATGTCACAGAAATCAGCAATAGGTATATGGACAAAACAGTAACATAGTTTACCTTTTCCTACTGTATCCTAGCTAGGTAGGGGGACAGTGATTTTTTTTGTTTCCTTTAAACGAACACGCCGAGTTAAATTTGACCGCTCTGATTCCAGGGGGCGATTTGCACTATCACCTCTCCCAACACGGGGTTTTTTCCGAGAAGGAGATGCGGTTTTACGCCACCGAAATCATCCTGGGGCTGGAACACATGCACAATCGGTTTGTTGTTTACAGAGACTTGAAGGTAAGGCCGTGTGACGGACTCGCGCTGTTTATGGGACCTGTGCAGCAGGCGGTGTCTTGCGGTCACAGTCCTCCCAGGCGTTCCTCCTCTTTCGTGGTTATCCTGTCCTCTTCCTCGTCTCAGCCCTGATAAAGTCACCCTGAGTGTGATGCTGGGCCCTTCTAAACTCTGTTCTAAGGACTCAAGTCCATCCTGGTTGTCACTACTACTCAGTTTCTGGTGCAGCACGTACGCCAGCTCAGAAATTTCAGTTGGTTAATTAATGAAGAGCAGGGTGAGGGTTTTTTTGTTTTGCCCATTTTTATAGTTCATTGTAATTCCATTGATGTCCACCAAGCAACTGACTTGGCCGTGACTCTGTGAGGGCAGGAGACGTACAAAGATGAACAAACAGAGAGCATGTATCTTTCAGGCATATCCCCTGGGGAGCCAGCCCAGAGAATGGCTGAGTCGTGACTGAGGAAGGCTGGTCTGAGAGGGGCGGACTGGCTGGCAGCCTGCAGAGTGTCCCCCGAGGGCCATTCTCCGAGCCTCGGATTGTTCTGAGACCGCCTTTAAAAATTGATTTACTAACAGATTTTTTCGATCTCTGAACTACACAGCCCCAGTCTGCT